AAAAAAATGATGAGAGGAAGTTTGATGCAGCTTTAACTTTATTGCATGAGGCCAGGCATAGTTCCCTGCAAAGTATTAATGAAGTATTGGTAACTATAAAATTTAAGTGTTCTGGTTTATTAAGGTATATATCATGAATATTTAAAGCTTAAAAATTTTAGGACCAATCGTTAGTCACCAATAATGTTCAAGAAAATACTAGTAATATAATAAATGAATTAACAGTAGAAGATAAACATGATGAAATGGTAAATATTCAAATTAGTTAGCAATATAATATTGTTAGTAATCAATTTACTTTTTTCAATTTTTATTTTATATAATTTAAAATGTACATTTATTCCTTACTTCTGCAAAAATATTGTTTATTGACAATATTGAATATCATACAAGAACAAAAAAGAACGAATAGAATATTCTCCGTCTGAATCATCCGATGCTGATCTCGATGGTATATAATTAGATATTTTTTCTAAAACAAAGTATTTCAAACAGTAAATTAATATATCTTCTAAAATATTGCTGCCAATGAATTGCAAGCAAGTGGTGGGCTTCAAAGTTCTAATAAGATGGTGAATCTTTCACAAACATCAAATGATCCAGAGTTTGGTAAGAAATAGAATATAAGCATGCTAATACGAATAAAGTAAGAATTAATTCCTATCATCATAATTAGAAACTATTAATCGATTTGCTTATTATCTTATGCCAAAAGAAAACTAATGAATTTTAACAATTATTGTATTATTTGAATTATATAATTAAAAAGGATCCTGATGTTGAAGAAGCAAACATGTCTGAAATTGCAGAAAGAAATAAAAATATTTGTAGCATTATTATCAGCTTATCTTTTTTCTTCTTTTTACATATATACTTATTTCTTTCGCTATTTTAATTAAGGAAATGCTTGCAATTTCATCAATTATTAACAATCAACAAAAGCTATCTACTTCATTGTCAAATATTAATAAACAAAATCAATCTGATAAATTAATAGATTTTTAGGTAAAGAATCTACATTATCAATGGTAAATCTGGTGAGTATGATGTTTAGCTATTTTTATTATTTTAAGCATCAACCTTTTGTTTTTGTTAATGACCCTATTCTAGTAAGAATTTTAATTCATATATAATAATAATAATAATATATTATTATTAATTCTTATTACATATTATTTTTATTATTTCTTAATTGCATTGGTTTTCATAATGAGATTTTTAAATAGCCTGGCCTCTGGCTTTTTTTAAATTTTTATATGTAAATTTTTACAAAAAAATTTCTAAACCCACCTAGATATTATAAATTTGAACCAGGTTATAAAACCAACCAATTAATTACAATTAATTAATTTTGAATAGCTCTAATTATATTTTTTTTAAACAGGAATTTTTTGTCAATAAAAGCAAGAAACCAAGAAGTAAGAATTAAAATAAAATTTTTAGTATAATTATCATTAATTATTTCTAACAGCTTGAAACTGTCTAGCTTCAAATGATTCCATTAACATTTTGGTATGTAGTATTATCTGAAATTTTGATTTTAAAATCTTCAACATTAATATAATGAAAATCTATAGGCTGAAGATAATGATACATAACCTGATTCAGATTTAGATGATGAAATCGATGAACAAAGAAGTTTATTCCGAAAGCGCAAATCCAAAATCACCCAAAATTTTAAAGTTTCAAAGAAATCAAAAAAAAATAATTCCAAGAATAAACAAGTAAATAAGGTAAATAAATCTTATTACAAAGAT